GTGTGTGTGTGTGTGTGTGTGTGTGTGTGTGTGTGTGTGTGTGTGTGTGTTCAGTACATCTGTATATGCACACATACACCTAAAAACAACAAGACGCGCACTCATAGAGCAGCAGCTACCCGTTTCAGGACCAAAGCACAATTTAGTCATTATTTTCAGCACATTGTAAATAACTCAGTCATGTAAAGTAACACAAAAGGGCTAGCAACAAGCTAGGGCTAGCTCTGCATTATATAATAGACGACCATTTTATAATGATGCCAGTATATTTGTATGTTTTTAATGTAATTACCTAGCACAATGATAACTGTAACCACTGGGTGAAATATCAAAATGTCATCCTAACTCGACGGAGTTGAAACTTTAGTCTGACGTGTTTATAAATGTACTTTATATAGAATCTGAGCATTCTTGTATATATTTTTTATTTTTTCCCCCCACGTGTTGTGTTGTTCGTGCTGTGCGTGTGTACAGCAGGCATTTTGGTGAAATGTCCACTATGACTCTGACACCTGTGTAAATGGAATACGAGCTTCTTGAAGAGGCAGAGCATGAATATTAAGTTTTATAAAAAACAAAGCTCTCTAAGCAGACAGCTTCAGTACTTTTTTTTTTCTTTTTTTTTATAGAGTTTGAGTATTTTTCTAACTTTGTGAAATTTTGTACGATGAAACTGTGTGATTATATCAAAATAAAAATGTCTTTAATAAAACTCCTAAAACCAAGAGCGAGAGTGTGTTTGGTTTGTTATTTTACTTGAAGACAAAAAAGAAATTCTCCGAAATTCTCTTTCTTTATATCTCGGTATAGTCGCTGGCAAGCCAGTGCGTGTGATGGAGCAATTTTTGGGTGTGGGGCAATACTAGACTTCCATGCGCAGCTTCCTGTGGGGGAAATGGTGAACATTCCAGGCTTTAACCCCTCTCCCCAATGGCTCGCTGGAATAATATAGAGTCCACACAAACTATGGCAGAGCGGTAAAATACATTCACATGTGAAAACGCTTGGAGGCTATATAGTTTGCCTGCCCTTATATACTTCTATGTTGCCTGTAAATGTATATGTTATCCACAGGTTGTGCTGTTTAACTGTACGCTTCTTTATGTGCCAGCATGTTCTCCTGAGCTGCTGAGGCACGGCGCCCAGAGGGAGACCAGAACTGATTAGTTTAATAAGCTGCAAAATGTGTTTTGTTTATATGACCATGTCAGGAGTAATGCTATTGTGTACCAGCTGCCTTGTGTTATGACTACTACTAAATTACTGTTTCCAGTGTCTTAATTTGCCACAAGACTACACCATACTGTGTGTGTGTGTGTGTGTGTGTGTGTGTGTGTGTGTGTGTGTGTGTGTGTGTGTGTGTTTTACTGTCACCAGAAACTCTGCATTTAAAAATCGGGCATATTTAGATGCTGATGGGATTAATAACAGTGTTAAGGGCTTGAATGTAACAGACGTCTGTTTTCACGTAAATGTTCAGCACTCCAACTTTGAGTTACATTTGCTCTCTATAGAGAATGAACCCAGTTATTTATGGTGGTGATCATCACAGTGTAAAACTAAGGCAGGAATATCAGTCTGTGCAGAAATCATAAGCCATTTTGATACCATTTCATTGGCTTTGCTGCAAATGAAAGTGACAATAAGTGCACTGGAGGGGCAACAAAAAGACCCCCGTCAAGAAAGGGAACAGTTCCTCTTTCTTAAATATTGCAGATTTGTTGACTGCACATCCATGATGAAAATCTCCCATACCAAAGGTGCACAGGCACCTGTCTGCAGCATCCAAATGTGCAGGTTTGACGTGTCACATGATCATGGATGCGCTTTTGCATGCCCTGGTTGTAACAAGTGGTTATTTGACTTACTGTTGCCTTCCTATCAGCTGGAAGCAGCTCTGGCCATTCTCCTCTGACCTCAATGAGGCATTTTTATCCAGAGAATATTTCCTTCTTTATGGGCCATTCTCTGTAAACCCTAGATATGACTATGCAGGAAAATCCCAGTAGATCAGCAGTTTCTGAGATATGTTCCGCCCTGTCTGGCACCGACAACCACGCCACATTCAAAGTCAGTTAAATCACCTTTCTTCCTCATTCTGCTGCTCAGTTTAAACTTCACAGGTCGTCTTGGCCTAAACAAATTGAGTTGCTGCCATGTGATCACTTGATTACATATTTGTATCCGAAAGCAGTTGAATGGGTTTCTTTCTTTCTTTCTTTCTTTCTTTCTTTCTTTCTTTCTTTCTTTCTTTCTTTCTTTCTTTTCCACTTTTTTTCTTTCCTGAATGTGATTCAGAGGCTTTCTTAATCAGAAGCTCTCAGCTCTGAAATACTGAAATCCTTTCATGTGGTTTGGAGGGGGGAACAAAAAGAGAAGTTGCTGCTGTGTTTTCCCACTGTGGTTTAACTCCTGATATTTGTGAAGTAATTACTCTGTGTGACTTACAAATTCTTCCCATGAACTCTGCGGCAGAGTTGTGGTCGGTCTGAAGTCTTGCTTCTTTGTTGTTTGCCCCCTGCACACACAGAGACTTTAAAAGCCATCTAAGGTTATTTGTCATGCAACTCTTATTAGCGATGGTGTTTCTCGTCATGCGTGCACAATGTTCCGAGGGCATCCTTTCAGATGTTTTTTGGTAGTTTGGACAGAAAAGAAAAACAGCATTTGTGTAGTTGTAGTTTTTTTTTTTAATTAATGCAGTTAGAAGAAAACGAAACCTGGTCTATTCTTCGACAAAGTTTGGCCTTGCTGCTCCTTCCGTCAACTTTGAAGCCTGTCGTGGAGTTTGATGCCACATGATATTATTGGCAGGACTTGCTGAGGTCACTGGTCCTCTCCCTCTGACAGATGGAGGGATGCTGAGAGGAAGCGTGGCACACCCTCCGAGTGCCCTCGCTGATAAGTGACCTCATTACGGCTCCGCTGGGCATGTTTTTCTTATTCACAGAACAGAATGATGACGGCTGGCTCCTCGGGGGACCTCGGCTTTTGAGCTGTGCCAAGTTTTCTGACTTTCTGAGAGTTTTTCTCTTCTTGGCTCATGGCTCACATTTAGTTTCAAAGACAATCAGTACCAGGCTGAAATACTCACATTGCACTGGAACACATCGCGTTATCTGATGTCTCTATACCAGCAGCTTGTGAGAACATTTAAAGACCAGGTGTTTTTAACATGTTATTATGTGAGCTTATTTTACTCATGCTAATACAATACAAGCTAACGCCCCTTCTGAAACCTCTAAGCGCTAATGTTAGCCATAATATATTGCGTCCATGCCCAGAAGCTCTTATTCTTGGCAGAATCTTGGGGTTAAGTTCTGCTGCTGTAAGCAGTTTTCTGAATACGTGTCTCTTTCCTCTCTCCTCGTTTCTCTCTTTGTTCTCCTTGTACCTGCAGACTGTAAACATCAGGAGGAAGGCCAAATTCCTGTCATAACATTTGCTATGTCAGGACCCTCAGCCCAAAACACTATATATAAATATATAGACTACTTAGAGTTAGTAATGTTAGGATTGTACAGACACTACTGCTTGTTCCTGAAGTTTTTGAGACAGCTCTCTTTGTCTGTGGAAGTCACGTCACGTGTGGATGTCTGGCAATCATTATGTTTTTGTTGATAGTGTCTTTTATTGCTTGTGATGGGGTGCTGATGATGATCGAACTATTGATCTGAGACATTTGTCTCAGATTCTGACATGTCCCAGCCTCAGAAGCGAGGGATGAGACCGATCAGATCTTTGAATGCTTTGAAAAGGAATCAGTTGACATGATTCGGGCATTTTACAGGAATGCCTCCTGGACACCTCGTGGGTGAGGTGTTCCATGCATGTCTTAATGGGAGGAGGCCCTAGGGTAGACCCAGGATAAGCAGGGAAGATTATATCTCTCGGCTGTCCTGGGAGCACCTTGGTGTAAGCGGGAGGAGGTGGCTGGGGAGAGAAAGTTCTGGGCTTCTTTTCTTAGGCTGCTGCCCCCGTGACCCTTGCCCCGGATAAGCTGGAGAAAATGGACGGATGGATTCTGACATCACAACAACCTCTGGGGAACTTT